GCGGACGAGCCTGCCCGGGACACGCCGGCGCGCAGCCGCCCGGGCTGGCGCTGAGGTGAGTGCCCGGCCCGGCCCTGCGTGCGGGGAAAGTGCGGCCGAAAGTTTGCGGCTGCGGGACGTGCCCGGGCGCGTCTGCCCCAGGGCGGGCTGTGCCTGGCACAGGTGGGGGCAGGGCGGGCATGCGGAGGTCGCGGCCCGGGGGAGGTGCGAGGCGAGGGGGCGCGGGGTGTTGCTTGTCACCAAGTTCAGCGGCAGGCTCCGCCAGCGGCGCGGGGACCCGGACGGTCGGTCCCGCTCCTTCCTCTCACCTGCGGGCGGGCGCCCCAGCCCCCCCCGGGGGAAAAAGCAGGCGGGATTGGTGTGGGCTGCCCGAGGGCTGGATCCTGTCCGGCTTGGATGACTTCCCCCCTGCTCCCTCTGTCATGCACCTGCCAAAGTGGTCGCACTTTTGTCACCTGCTGCACCAGCCCAGTGTGGCAGTTGGCAAAGCCGAGGTGCCACTGCTTCGCTCAGGGAAAGCTGAGCAGTCTTGTTACAGCAGACTTGCGGGAGTGAACGGGTTTGCCAGGGCGCTGGGTGGTAGCGGCTACCTGTGCCCTGCTGCTCCAGCCGGAGTCCTGCCAGGAGGTGACCCAGCCTGTGGCGGATCCTTTGCCAAGACGCCTTTGTTAGCCCGCAGCCTTGGTGGCTGTTGGCCTTAAGTATGTCGAGTTGGTTACAACATTACAAAGCCTTGGGAAGAAGCAAGGGAATCTGGTATCTCACATCCGACAGAACTTCCTCCCTGTCTTAATTTCTGCGATGTGGTTGCCAAAACTGAATGGATTGAGAAACTTCCTAAGTGTTGTGATTTGACAAGACATGATAGCAAAATAGTGTCGGAGGATTAAATTATGCTGCAAAAGCAAGCGAATATACGTGAATGAGATTTCTGTCCATAATGTAAACATGCAGCTATGGCAATATATATGGAGGTTAATTTTGCTGGATGCTGTGAAGTGCCAGTTGTTCTGCTTTCATGGGTTAGCGAACCACTGGAATGTCCAAATGATGATAAATTATGCTCACTCTAGAGCCAAAACATATTTGGTTCATAGCCAAACTTGCTCAGCTTCCCATAACAGCCTGTAGGAAAGAGACATTTTTTTGTTTCTAACCACAGTTTTGTCACTGATGCCATAGCAACTTTGTGATCTGAGGGTATAATTTTAAAGACAGCTGGGCAGTGTTGAGTGAACTGGGCTATATTTCTCTAATGAAGCTTCATACTGTCGTCAGAATTGATGCTTTCTTCAACCTCTTTGGACTCAAGGTACCCCTCAGAAAATGCCAGCTGTTAGCTTATGCTCATTTCTTGACTACAGAAAAATAATAAAACAAAGAACTCAGAAAGACCACAACAGGTCAGAATATCTTGGACACTATGAATTCCTATTTGAAAACTCTGGGTTTATCTTGTGACCCGTGTGTAGGTGTTTGTGCACCTAACCTTGCTGATGTTGCATAGCACCCTGCAGGCCTCTGGTTGAGAATCGCTGCTCTAATACCATTGTGTTCTGCTGTGACAGATTTTTTTGTGCAACTTTGAGCTCCCTTATCCAAGGCCCCTTCTACACATGCAGGTAAAAAATGTGCAATCCACATAAGGACGCCTCCTGCCATGCTACATGTGGTTTCGTGCACCCCTGAGCCTAGGAGATCACAGTAGCTGTGATCCCCCAGCCCAAGAGGATTTTGCATACCCCTGGAGCAGCCACACCCCCCAGCTGCCAGGACCCAGCTGGGTCCATGTATCTGGCATCCACAGCTAGGGGATCCTGGGTCCTTGTGCTGCTGGGACCCAGAGTGGGTAGCTGCTGAGAGTCTCCCAGACCTGGGTGAGCATGGTGCACTCCTGTTGCTGGGTGCTGTCAGCTAACTACATGTGCTGTTAAAGCTAGGTAGCAACCACTTATAAGAGTTAGCACACACTGAGGTCTAACTTCGTAGTTTTTTGGAGCTTTTTATGGCTACTTTGCAGCTGTGGAACATGCCCAGGCGTGTCTGCACCAGGGTGGGGTGGGGCGGGCTGTGCCTGGCACAGGTAGGGGCTACTTTGCTCTTATAGCTGGTTAATTAGGTGATTCTAAGGTCCTCTCTAATGTGTAGTGGGGGCCTTAGAATCATAGAAAAGTAGGGCTGGAAGGGACCTCGAGGTCATCTAGTCCAACCTTCTATTTGTCTTAAGATGGCAAAGTCATTTATTATACTTATACTGTCTTGGCAGATATTTAAGATTAAATTTTAGGTAGTGTGTCTCTGATTCTCAATGAAACCATTTCATTTTTGTTCTTGTTGTTTTCAGAAAGGGATTTTTAAAATAATTTGAGCATAGTGCAATTCTTAACTTTCTGATCTTGCCCATATCTTTTCCTAAAGGAGGAATGTCAGTAGAGGCATGATCACATGGAATCTATTAGGTCAGCTAATAACTAATAATTAAGAGTAGCCTATTTATTTATATATTTACTATCACTCTCTCCTGGTTAAAAACCCTTTTACCATCATAAACCAGGGAGATCTTATGAGGCAAGAGACTTCAGCCCCTGTTACTTGATTCTGTATAGTTTATACTTCTGTAGTGCATTCTGTTCAAAGGATCTCAAAACAGTTTATGCTCATCAGCATTAGTCCTTACAGTATCTTTTTCTGATATTCCCATTTTACCCTATGCACCACAGTTTCATCCTATGTAAATGATTTCTTCAGGGTCAAATGGAAAGTCTGTGGCAGAAGCTGAAATAGAACCCAAATCTCCTGCCATCTATTTCTGTGCTTCAGCAAAATACCACTTTTTTCCTTTGATCTCTTTTATCTCTTATTTTTAGTAGGACATCTAAGTGCATAACTTGTTACTTTCTTTTCTTTCTCATGGCTTCATAAGAGACTGTGTTCCTACAAGCTAAATACAGACAGTCAGAAAGCCTGAGGATTAATCAATTCAGTCTTCACAGGTTAGTCCAAGCTGCGTAGATTGAACTGATAAGCAAGTGAACAGACGTTCATTTTTGACTCTGGAAATGCAGCCAGATACCTGCAGCAGTCTAGGTCTGAAGCTGGTGGGGGCTAGAGCATGCCTCCCTGCTCAGCTGGAGCTGATAGCTTGGGCCAAGGCTAGCCTGCCCACCCTGCGAGGCGGGGTTTGCAGGAGAGGTGCAAAACATTCTGGGAAGCTGGGGGCTGAGTGTTAACTTGAATCTGGAGGGGATCTGGGACAGAAGATCATTAAAACAATTTAACCTAAATCAGTTAAGCCTGATACTAAATCTATCCAGGTTTATCTTGAACAGGTTTGGGCCATTTGGAATGTGGTTTAGGTCACAGCACTTCTGTTGTGTTAGATTTGAACCGGTTTCCGATTAACATATACCAGTTTGTATATAATTTCTGTAGCCAGCCACAAAGTTTGCCTTGTAGTTTATTTAGGCTTCTGTACTGAATAGGTAATGAATAAAGTTTTATATGATTTTTATCTTGGGTTTTAAAAGTTCTTATTAATTGAATTGACAGTGTTGCCACTGTCACATCTTAAACAGTAACTCTGTAATCTAAATGCATTTATGCATATATTATTGAATTGTGTGAGATGATGGCATAACATTAACTTGCTTTTTTACCCACTTACCCTGAAAAGAAAATCTGCAGTAGGCTGATGTGGCTTACCTGAATCAATCTTGTATACTACTTAACAGAAGGTTAGATACTTGTATACTACTTAACAGAGTGCCATAACTGCTGTAACCTACCAACCCTCTGTCTGTCCCATCCCCTCCCCTCCCTCTGAGCCCTGCATTTTTGTTTTTCTATCTCTGATTTTGAACAGGAATTTGGGTGAAAACTTTCCAATGGATTGTTGGGTAGAATGGGATGTGGATTAGACCAGTAGCTTTGAAAAAATTTCCTCTCCGAGTGTCTCTGCAGAAGGAACACCTATCAGATTGGAGACTGCAGGTGAGGTAGGGAATGGAATACTGTATTTAATTTGAGGATCCATTGGCATTTAAGCACAGTCTCAATGTAGCTTAGCAGCTTCAAAATTTAGTTGGTTTTTCATGTGCTCACTCACTGAAATTTAGACACCTGTGGGGTTAGCAAACTGCTGAATATTTTAAGCATCTTGATAATGCCTGAATGTTGGATGTTTGTGTATGAGTTTGGGTTTGCCTTCTCAACAGTACCTTTGTTGCTTTAGCTATGTCAGCATAGTTCTGTTGGTGGAGTGCTTAAGTGAGGACTTGGTGTATGCTGTCAAAATGTTTTTTTTTCTCTCCTGGTGCTGCTACATTACCTTCTTGAACGACACAAGCAAAGCTGATGAAAGCCCTCTCTTGTCACCAGAACTGTATCTGCACCAGGCATTTTGCCAGCATAGCTATGTCAGATAGGAGAGGTGAAATTTTTCAGTCCCTGCTGTTGAAGTTTTGCCACTGTGTAAAAAGGAGTATAAGGACCAGAATAAGAGCAAGGAAGAATGAACACAACCCTGTAGCCTAGTGTTTTAGGGCACTTGCGTGACTTCAGGATTATCTTTGGGGTTTTTTTATCCAATGACTGTCTAACTTAAAATGCATAATATAGTCCTGGGAGCTGGGACCAGAACGTGGGACTCCAGCCTCCAATGGAAGCCCCCTAAGGACTAGGTTACAGAATCTTGTTCCTTCTTGCACCATCTTCTTCTGGCTGAGAGATTATTCTGTTCCTTTCCACCCAGTAGTCTATCTTAACCAGGAGGGTGGAGCGTGCCCTCATCCAGAGTTGCCTGTAGCCTGACGGTTATTCTCCTTGGGTATTCTGTTGAAAGTGGACAGTACAAATTTAAAACCATGCAGGCTGAGGAGGAAATTAAAGCTAGTCCTTTCATATTTTCTGTGGGCATGTCTACATGTGCCCCAGATTGCATTTGGTACTGCACAGTCAGTTAGTACTTCCTTTAGCAAGTACTAACTGACTGGGCTGTACCGGTACTGCGCAGTTTGTGCTCACCAATGCTGTGTTGCCATAGGGTCTCATGTAGAT